AAAAAAAAAAAAAGGTAATGAAGATGCATCTCACATCAGTCTCAATCTACATTCTACACTAAAATGTCTCAGGTGTGTGACAGGAAATCTGAAGCTTGATGGTTGGGCTTTAAAAGCCCCAACAGTAGTTCAATCTCAGTCTCTAGCAAACACAGAGCCAGCCAAGTGAAAGTTGCAAGGCTGGAAAGAAGAGGGTGTAGATTATTTTTGCAATAACAATAAAAAAAAAAAGTTGCAGACTCTAGCACAGGGGCTGCTTTAGAGAGATGGCTCAAGCAATTTTGTTACTTGCTAGCATGTAAATGCTAGATGAAATAAAGAATTGAATCTTCTTCCCTGCTGCTCCTAAACATATCGGGGTCACTTCTGAAATTCAAGAAGTCTGTCTCACGTTGCTTGCAAAGGAGATCTACAAACAACAGCAAAAATTATTAATGAAGACAAACATGACGGAAGCTGGGGCAGGGAAAGTAACAGACAACTAACCTCTCAGCCACTGGGAGAGAGTCCACCTTCCACTTCCCCAGATTTTAGGAATGTCCAGTATCTACAGGGGTCAAAGAAACAGAGCTCCACCGCAGGACCTGAGTCCCAGAACACTCTCCACAGGATCTCTGCTTTTTCAGTGGTGAGAACTACAAGACCCAAGTACCCGGGAGCAGCAAAGAGCAGCCCTCCTGTGGTCAGCTGCGTATCTAACCTGGTCAGTTTAGCTGTTCAGCTTACAAGCCACAGCATAACTGTAAACACTCTCCCTATGAGCATCTTCGCATTACTTTTTTTTTTTTAGTAGAGTAGCATCAACCCAACACAGATGAGCTGAACCCTTCTCCGCCCTGCACATGTTAAGAATTGTTTAACTCTCATCTATACCTAAGGTATCATAAAAACAAAACCAGAACTGTGTTATCTCCTACGTCTATACTGTCTACCCTGATCAGGAGCTTTCCCACAAATAAGAGATCACCAACATTTAAGCAACTGGGTGGATGCAGTGCAAGAAGTCACTAGTTACACAATACAGACTTAGAATTACCGAGGTGGGAAGGCACCTCAGGAGATCACCTAGTCCAACCCCCTGCCCAAAGCAGGGCCACCTAAAGCAGGCTGCTTAGGACCATGGCCAGTTGGGTTTTGATTATCTCCAAGGAGACATAGTATTACATATTACAATTTAATACTTATGTAGTGTAACTTCACTCATTACAAAAAGGGAGTTGTCTTTTTTTTTCTTCTTGTGTTCAATACTTGTATTCTTCAGGAATTTCTTCATGATTAGTCATTGACTAGAAGTTAACTAATTTACCTGAGATGATTTAAAAAAAAAAAAAAAAAGGCATGAAAGCTTCTATTGGCATACAAATTTTGTGCCACTGTGTGCTATTTAGGTATATACCGAAAGAGTCTTTCCCAAATAACTCAAGCTTCTAAGGCTATGATCTGGTTACTGAATCAAAATAAAACACTGATTGAATAAAGCAGAAGGCACTTATTTAATAGTAGGTTTTAGAAAATTAAGTGATGGTTATACCAAATCTGTTTAAAGTTGCTTTAAGCAATAATTAGTCACAATATAGATATGAAGTCCTATTGACTAGATTGTCTGAGGATACTAAGATTAAGGAACACACTGCAGTTGCATCCCTTCCATGGAAAATACATCTTTGTTAGAGACTTGTACTCAGGTGTGAATTTGTTCAAATTCACAAATAGAGACTGCAGCTGCAATAAAGGTTTTTTAATGAGTGAACTTTATAAAAGGGCTAAACTAACTCTCTTGTACATCCCACTGAGAACACCCCATTAGCTGCTAAAAGAAAGGGCTGACAACAGATACAAAGTCAAGCAGCCTGAGCAGCTGAAGTCAGATTAGAAAGGACTGAAAATTTTTACAGAAGAAATATTTTTAGAAGGACTAGCTTTAGTCTGAGGACCTGATCCTCACAATAATGATTTGTAGTGGTGGTTCTTTGTTTGCAAACTAAGCTTTTTTCCAAGCATAGGAATTTGCTGGTACAAATCCATAGATAAAAAATACCCCCAACTTCCTTAGCCAGAAGTAATTTCTAGTAAGTACGTCAGTATGTTGACGGATTAAGCCTCTTCTCCAAAATCATAAGTGACTAATACACCCCCTTCGTGGACCTCTCCGTTAGACAGAAATTTAACATTGATGAGTGAACGATCGACTAAATGTACAGAACAAGAACACAAAAAGTCTGAAACCAGTAATTTCAACTAAAAGAACTTTTTAAAAGACAGTTAACAGTCAAACCTATTCACGGAAAACATGATGCGGCATAAATACCTGCTTCATGTTCGTGTACCAAGAAGTAGGAAAGAAATGGTGAAAGTGAGTGATCCAGAGGCTCTTGAGATTTGTGGGTGGTTTTTGTGTTGGTTTGTTGGTCGGGTTTTGTTTTTTTGTTTTTTTTCTTAAAAAAAGCAGTCCTTTGGAGAATAGCATATAAAGACCTGTAAACAGAGGTTGATTGTCCAAGCTTTCTTAACTGAATTTTGATTTTTTTTTTTAAAATGTAAAAAAAAAAAAAAGTTCTATTGTTAAACAGTTTTTGGTGAAACATGCAAAACTTCCATCCAAATGCATAATTCCATTTTTGACGCAGAACCTCATAGACTGCAGAGGAGTTAAGGTTTCTTTGTCTCTTGTAAGGTTAGTATCACATCACAATCCAGTAGAAGTCCCTTAATTTTTTCATGGAATTTCTCTCTGTACTGGTTGAAGTGCATAATGCTTTCTGGTTCTTCTTCGAACCAGAACTTGTCAAACTCATAAACTAGATAACCTGGGAAGAAAATAAAATATAGATCTGCAAAAATGACCTACACAATTTTCAGACTTGATCTAGCTAGACCTAGATTGATCTTTAGACCCTATTCAATCCCTTGAAACAGGACCCATCCTGGTCAACAGCAAGCTTTTGGGCACTGTAATAATGAGTAAAAAATAATCTGCAAATACCAAGTTTTCAGACTGCAGTGTCTAATATATAGAAAACCACCCAAATTTATCCCTTAAATGTACTTTTCTGTAGCACAATGTTTAAGCCTCAGGTGCGTTTCCAACATCTGATGCAGAAGATAAACAGCTTGCTCTGGCTCATGAGAAGAGAGTGGAAACACACTCCAAAAAACCTAAACTCTATGTTGTAGGCCTACCCCCCCCCCCCCAGTAGTCTGTACTGAAGAAGCTACAGATACTTACAGTAAAACTGATGGAAGTGCTCCATCTGCGGCAATCCAGAGACCACATTGTACAGATGAGACTTTAAAGCACCATTCTTAAGTAAACTGTATGCCATTTCTGTCAGATTGATTCCAACTATTGCATAAGAGTATCTGCAACACCAATCATAGGTCATGTTTTACCTTATGGATCGAAGGACTTAAAAGCTTCCCTGAAGCAGTCACTTTTTGCTATGACACCTGTTGACAAGCTGACTCCAGCCTACATGCCCCTCTTCCCATTCCCTGGTGCATCCAACCGTGTAAAAGTGATTTAAAAATGCTAGTTTCCTATACGATAGTATGGCAAATGCCTCCATGAGGCAATAATGCGATGCTAAGGCTAATTAACATGGACCTCAATTTCTGCATTTGAAGTCATTAAATCTGCTGGAATATTAAAAATTGGATATCAAAAACATTGTTATGATACAAACGGAATGGCCATCTCAACCTGTTCCTCAAGCTGAAAAAAAAGAAAAAAAATCTGTTTTTCTGTTGCATGGTATAGAAAGTACCACAATAGAAATTCTTAACGGACTGTTAAGTGTTTCTGGGGGAAGGAAAAAAAAAAAGGATTAATTCATCTCAATGATATGAGAGTACTTAATTGATCTAAATGTCTCGGATATCCTATTCATGCTCTAGTTGCACAAGGTACTATTATTTACAATAGAAGTCATGAAAGCCTCCTGTTCTTGGTAGGTGATTAAGTTAACTGGGGACTAGATGGATCAGATGATATACACAGGTTTACCAGCTTTCCTCTTCATCTGACTGGTTTTAGAGCATATTTCCCTGTCAAATGAGCTAAATATTTTAATATGCAGAGTTTTCAAAAATGAAGTTAAAGTTAACAACGACAAAATATCTATTTGTATATGCTTATTACAGAACAGAAACCTAGCCAAAAAAAAAAGGGATCTGAAGAGATAATCTATACCATCCCAACACAGGATCAGTAAGGTGGTAAAAAATACATATTCATTTCTAAATCTAATCTAAACCTATTACAAATAAAGCTAACTGTGATGTTAAAGGTGTTCACTGTGTTAACCAAAACCAATATTTTGCAACTTTTTTGTCCCAACAAGTCTATTCGGGGCGGGGGGAAGAAAAGCTGCACATGGTTCCCAGCCTGAAATTGATTTCTGTGTTCAGTTTCTCACACCCTTCTACTTTGGCTCTTTTTTCATCCGTTAACGGAAAAAAAACCCCACAAATATTTTCCTCTCTATTTTCAGGACACATAGTTGGCAGTCTTCACATGAGGTCTTACACAGAACGAGCCAGAAAAAGGTCATATAGTGACTTACCCCAGCTTTGGGTGGTTTGAACGAGAAAGGATCTGGCGAGCTTCATCGGTGTAATGCTTACTAAAATACCTGTCCATGTAAAACAGGATCTTTCATTAGCTTTTTAAGTTTACATTAAAAAAAAAAAAAGTGATCAACATCAAAATGTGTTCACCTTTAAACTAACACTGAATACTACTCTGTACTAAAAAATGGCACAAAATGAAAACCAAGGAAAAGGTAGCAAATTAAATTATATTCAGCATGAACTAATACAGTAATAAAAAAAAAGAAAAATCATTGTGATCTGAACATCAAGTATGATGTTCACCCAAGTCCACAAATTAGCTTAGCAAAGTTATGCAAACTTGCTTATTTTTCATTACAGTAATTAATTCAGGAATTTTAAAAGCTTTTGACAAGTTACTTTCTAAGTTATAACCTAGCAAATCTATCATACGACAACAAAAAAGTAAGGTGTCTTGGGTAACTTTCTGTTCCTCCTCTCACTTGTTGGGCTCTACCCAACCACACATTTACAGATGTGCAGCCACTAGAAATGTTGACTTATTTAGAAAATACTGTTTTCACTGTACAGAATCCGCCATTTCTATTTGCTTCTATTTGGTCTTTATTAGAAATAGCACTAACTAGAGAAAATACGTAGATATTGAAAGTAAGTTACAACAGAAATGAAATACATCTTTTTCACTTACACCAGATTCACTAACCCCAGCAGGCCCATTCCTCTGAAGTCTGTTTTGGGATCATCACCTTGGAAGCCAATGTCACACCACTGCTTGGTGATTCTGGCCTTCAGATTCTCATGAGGCATCAGCAAATTCCAAAGCTGCACAAATATGCTTCCATGTTATGCACAGCTGCTAAAGTATTCCACGTCACATCATTCAGAACGCTTGCTGCTGCACATTAGAAACATTCCCCAAGGCACAGGATACAATCTGCGTGCTGTTCTTTTCTGTTAGTGGCAATCTGGAGTCATGCTACAATGGCTTATTTCAGCAATTACGAAAATGATTACATTTACCATTAAATGCGATAATTTCCCTTCACGGACAAAGCCAGTGTATCAATGTTAAAGAAACAAAGACTTATTTCACTTCAGAAAATAATTTATGCGTCACTTTCTGATAGGACAGCTACAAACTGAAATACAAATTCTCAATGAATGCTTAACGCATCAATGTTGGGATTTGCATAGCAAGTTGAGACAATTATGAAATGCTGAGAAAATGACATGCTAATATATTTGCACAGCAGAAGCTATTTAAAAAAAGCCTCAAGCAGTGTTATATTATTTGCTTCCTATTATTTACTGTTACCTAAAATACATTACTGATAAGTTTTTAATCTTCCAGCATTAAACTATCCTCTTTGACACTGACCAGGTTGCAGTAATAAGAAAACACATAGTGTCTTCTTTATTTACTAATTATTGGTTTACAAAGTTAGATACGTGCATAAGGTTAAATATCTTTTTAGTTATGACCCATTGCAAAATTATTTTGATACTAATGTGTTGTTGTTATGTCTGATTTCACACAAAATAATCCCAGTGCAAGTAACTAGTTTACTAATGTTTTGCTTTGATGTTGTATTTTAATGTGTTAAGCAGCTCACAAGTAGAAAAGAGGTTTAAATAGGCTAGCTGGTAAGAACACTACCAGTAAATTCAGTTTATTCAAGCTGTTGAACTTGGAGGGGAAAAAACAAACAAACAGCTTTTGTATTTAAAAGATTATTTTCACCTCAATTAACCGTTCCTCATGTTCTTCGTTATCTGAATCATACGGGACCTTCCTCAGATTTTCCACATTTGAATAAAGTTTTTTATAACCTGATATCTGCAGTAATGATACATGCAGATTGGTCTTAAACCTGAAATAATAACAAAACACCACTCAGAAGCTATTAAAAGAGGCACAGTTAGCCATAAATTCTTGCTTGAACTACCAGATAAGACCTTTCTTATGTCAATGCAATGCAAACAATAGAAGTAGGAAGTGCTTTATGTTTATCTTTCAAACCACAGCATACTGGTTAAGTATACTGCTATCTGGATCTTATTTCTACTTAAAAAAACCTCTAGCCAATTCCAATGCTGCACAGACAGGCTCTATTCACTTAAATTATGGAAGGAAAAAACCCAAACTTGGCTAAAATCTGTGATGACACAAGAAAACTCCATGTATCATCCTGACCTCTGTACCTTCACCTACCCCCAAACTTTCTGCAAGTCTTGGAGTGAAACTTTGTCAGAAATACTTATAGCTTCAAAGAAGCATTTCATTGAACTATAAAATTTTGACTATTCACAATTTTCCTCTCAGTTGCTCATAATTACTGACACAGATGAATGCAAACATTAATCAGGCACTACTATACTCTCTTAAATATATCTAAGCAATTGCATAGTTCATGTAATCAACCTATGCGATAATCATATTACTTAGAAATACGGAGTAACAGAAGGGACTTGCAAGATAGAGATGCAATTATCCCAAATGCATGTCAATTAAAACTTTGCAACTTATTTTCTAGAACTGAAGAGGACATAACCATACCTCATTCTCTAATTTCATTCTAAAGATGGGTCAATGGCCTAAATATTGAATCAGATTAAGCAACCAGAAGAACATGCCAAGAAGTTAGAATTATCTGCCATGAAGAACTTATGTGTGGGCTCCAAACATACCCTGTATCCTTCTGTTCAATTTTCTTTTCTTTCATTACATCTCTGACGCACTTCTCCACTTCAGTTTCCTCAACGTCTACAGCATTTCTTAAAACCTAGAAGTTAACACAGTAAAAATCTTCATGAGGAATGCAGACATCTTATCATCTACTTTATTCTTATTTCTCAGCTTCTGTATACCTGTCATGTCTGTATTCTTTACTATAAAAGGAGAACAGTCAATTTATTGCAAATGTTTATAATAAATGGGCTCAAATTGCATATAAAGTATCTACAATAATTACATAAATGCATAATTTGTAACTTCAACAGACTGTAAACAACGTTTACACAGGAGTCCCATAAAGAATAAATAAAAAACTGGAGAGTTGCTTAGTCTAGGTTCTTGTTTGCTTTCAAATGCTGAACTGAAAGGTGTTATACCTAATCACAGAATCATAGAATCGTTTGGGTTGGAAGGGACCTCAAAGATCCAATTGAAACAAACGCAGCTATGGAGAAGCAAAAGTAATAAAACTTCAATAAGGAAAGAATGCTTCAGAATTAAGAGACAGTGAACTAACAAAGTTGAGGTTTCAATGCTGGGGTGAAATGAATTTAATGTAAGACACTGCTGTTCTGCAGTCTTTCTTATAGAGTAAAGGGCAAATACCAGTAATGGTAACTATACACTGCCCACCTAAAATCACTGCACGACAATTTAACTTTGTCTTCTAAACTTATGGTCACAATGCGTTCTTTAATGCAATGCGTTCTTTAATACAATTCACGCTAACAGCAAAGCAGCTTCATTTCAGTAAAGGAAAAGGTTAACTCTTTTAAAACTGAACATTAATATATTTGATAGAATCGTTTAAGAAATGCTAGAAGACCCACTCATACTGTGCTCTACTGCAACAAAGATGCTTGTGGCAGTTACTAATTCTCTCTCAACATCATATTGCAGCGATCAGCTAGAAAAAGGGAGAATGCAGTCACCTCACTGTCTAAAGAGGAAAAGTTTTGTTCAAGATCTACACATTTGAGGGTTTAAATTGTTAGCTTATGTCTAACTGCTACAGACTAACTGGAACGAGCTTGTCAGTTAAATGTCTACCTCCAAAGTTGCATTACATTTTTTCAACAATTCCAGACCCTATTTTATACACTGCATTTAATTGCTTTATCTGTATCATTTATCTATATCACACTTACAGTTTCTACAGAAACAGCAGAAGAGACTCTTGTGACAGAGAGAACTGAGCCTCTCCAAGAACAGCAGCTCTGTGTAATGACTTCTCTGACTTGCTGCTAATGGAAACAAAGATTTGAAGGGACATGGGGCTATTTTTGAGAAACCCTGGCTAACCCTAGCATACAGAATCCAAAATGCTGTTCTCTCCTCTCTGCCTTTTCTTCCTCTGCTTTCCTCCACCCTCAAAAAGTAAGCGCACATGTTCTTCTCTGGGATCTGTCTCTGAAAGAAGGTTTTATTGCAGTTTAATCTCTAGTATCTTTTACCTTATTCTTTGATGATTCCAGTGAATGTTCTGCAACAGAAAAAGAGTAAATGTCACAGCTAAATAGAACTGAATTGTTTTAAATAATTGACAATAGGTGTTCTTGTGACATGTAGGTATTATGGAATTTTGCATCCCTTTTATAAACGTAATTAATCAAAAATCACGCAAAATCAACAGGTATCAGGTAACAAAGTCTTAACTGACAATTTTCTGTATAACCCTCGAGTACAATGCTGAAAATACTCGTTTTTTTTAAAACATCGATCGATTACATATACAAAAACAAATCTGAAAAAGTGTCAAGACAAAAATATGTTTCTTGATATTTTTCCATTCTTAGACATGTTTTTGTGTTTATTACAGATGAATAAGGAAAGTTGCTTCCTCAAGCTATGGTTAAAATGGCAAGCACTGTAAGTAGTTTCTTAAATTACTATTTTAGACCAGAATTCTGCATCAAGCAGAACTGTGCATTTAATTACTCTCCCTCCCCCCAAAAATGCGTTCATGTCTGTTCTATGTGGCTTTTTTAGTAACAGGAAGGTAAAAACATACACAAAGCATGATGAAAACCAGATGATTTCTCATTCACTTTTTGAAGCTACCTGGAATTACCTTTGCAAGCAGGCAAGGAAACTAGATCTGGCATTCCGATTTAGAATTCTTATAGAATAGCCAGGAAGAGGGGCAGGTGGAAACATGACCTAGGGGCTGCACACCGCTGTCGGGCCAGGTACTGGTTTCCAACGATGGCTTTTCACGACGTAGCTAAAGATGTAAACCAGTCCCCCCAGGGGAAGGCTAAGCATCCTTCATTACCTATGCTCAGCGTCCGCTGCGCCCCTGCCTTCGAGCCGTCAAAGATACGCTGCAGTTCGCATTTCCGAGTCAGCAGCCTCAAGATCCACTTCAGCCAAAAACGAAAGTAGTTGCTGTACAGGAACCCCCAGAAGTACACCAACATCTTCTGCGTGAAGAAAGCCCCGCGCTAGCAGGAGCGGCGCGGCGGCGGCAGCCCCCTGCGTGACCGGCCTCCCCGCCCCGATCCTCCGGGGGG